GGGGGGGGTTTTGATTTGTTTCAAGTGATCTATTTCTATTGCATGAAAGTAAATGGACTTTGAATTTAAATGTGAATGGCAGAGATGAATTATCAAAATGTGAAATTAAAATGTAACAAACACTAGGGTTTCGGAATCCACCCTAAACAATTCTACCCATGTTCATGGATACTCAAGTGATGAACTCTAAACTTGTTGATGAAGATGTTCGCAATCAAGACCATGGGTCGTGGCTCAAGACGCATTGATTCTGTCTAATATACGTAAAGTGCATGGTTCGTGCTACAATACTTGTGCCCTCCTCATAACCGAACCTAGGTATGGTTCGTACTTCGATTCAATTACAAGGAGAACCCATTAAGTTCAAAGAGAATATGAACATCACAAGAATCCTAATAGCATGGTGTTTACATTAGGTATTCAAGAAACCAATTCACATGGATGGTTCTTACTCCATCCATTTATTGCTTAGGAAAACATGAAGATACAGATAATCCCAACAACCTCAAGAAGCATGCTTTCAAAGGTAATCAATCAAGGAAAACACACATCAAGGATAGATTAATTTGGTGAATTGGAATTCATCAATTGTTGTCAAGAAACCAATTCACATGATGCTCACTTAAACAAGTTCAATCATTTGTTGCTAATTAGAAATTATGTTCTTGGTTATCTTACACAACTTCTCAACTTTAGCTACATGCATACAACCTAAGGTGATTAAGCAAAGGAAGCAAACACATATCATAAGATTCAATTAGTGAATGGGGTTCATCAACAACATCTAGAAATTCATACACTCAAAGCATCAAAACAATAAGGTATTCATGTTTAGGGCTTCAACCTAAGCCCTAGCTATGGAGTTTAGTTCCTCATACTTATTTCAAATACAAACTCAAAACAAAACTAGAAAGAAGTTACAGATTTTGTGAACATGGGAGCTCAAGGTCTTCAATGGTGGAAATCTCTTCCACTTCTTGCTTTGTTGCCCTTGTCTTCCTCCTTGAGCTCCCTAGCTCCAAGCTTCATCTCCAGCTCCAAAATCTCTGCAAATTGTGGAATGATTCTGATTACAATGGTTGATGCTCTTTGCACTCCTCTCTCCTCCTTTCCAGCTTTTCCAGAATATCTTTTAATATAAAACAATTACTTTTGTTAAAGCCTTAAGCCTTGTCTCCTTGCCATGATGGGCTCTTTTGTTATTGTCTTCACCAAGATGCTCTTTGTTTCAGAAAATATCTCTTAAC